TGTTTGCAAGCTGTCCCACAATCGGTCCAAGTAGCACAAATTCGCTGCGGCGTGACTTGCAGAAAAATGCTTTACAGCTCTGCGCGCCAATTTTTCGCTCCTAGCTGTTTTTCTCTCCCTAGAAATGTAGTTCCACCTCCTACTTACAATGATGTTCGTAGTGCAGGAGGCTAAGAAAAACTTAAAGACGGATTAGTTGAAATTCTTTCAGGATGAATGGAGCATATATATGCATTCTCATAAATACTCGTAAATATTTCACGTATTTGTTGAGCACCTACTATGTACCAAGTACGGCAATAGGCAACTAGGTACTCATCTGTGCACAGGACAGACACTTTCACCGCCCTTCGTGGAGCCTGCAGTCCACAAACAAGCAAGAACATTACAGATTTTAGTAGAATGGCAAGGCTCAGCAAGTTCAAGAGATGGTGGCAGGGAAGCCTCTTCAGAGAGCGTGATCAGGGTCAGTTCTTCAAGGAAGTAACATTCAAGCCAAAACCTGAAGAATGAGAAATATTCAGACATGCAAAAGAACTAGGAAAGAATTACATGCCACACCTTTCACAGCGCAGGCCACACTCTACATTCTCAATAAATATTTGTTCTTTTTGTGTCCTTCCCTTCCTCTCCCTGCACAACCTTAGATCACATCCTCCCCCCTTCAAAACCTTTACAAAATCTTTATCAACAACTTTCAGAATATCCTTCCTATGTGAAGATGTACATGAGACAAATCAATGTCCAGTGACAGGACAAGCTATGCAGCTGTTGGGACAGAAAACAGGAGGCAAATGCCAACGAGTCTGCTAACGTGGCTGGAATCCTGACTACTTAACTCCTTCTCTATTTGTGAACTGGGTTTGAAGTCTGGGCACTCAGCCTGGCCTCCTGATTTGCTTCTGTTTATGAGACATAAAATCAGATTTTGAGTTTGTCTCTATTTAAAGATTCTGAAGGAGTCAGGGCACAATGTAATCCTTGCACTTAGGAAGGCCGAGGCAGGAGAATTGATCAAGTCTGGGAATTTGAGACCAGCCCAATCAACACAGTGAGACCTCATCTGTCCAAAAATAAATAGAAAAATGAGCAGGGCATGTTGGTATATGTAAGTAGTCCCAGCTACTAGGAAGGCTGAGCCAGGAGGATTCCTTGAGCCCAGGAGTTTGAGGTTGCAGTAAGCTATAATGACACCACTGCACTCTAGCCCAGACAACAAAGGGAGACACTATCTCAAAAAAAAAAAAAAACCCTAAAGGAAACTTACATTTTATCTCATCTGAATCAAAGGTGTAGTGAAAAACAGTCCTAGATTTACCTGTATAGACTTACCTTTCTGATCTTTAGTGACCTCAACTGTAAATGAGTATAATTCAGCCTGCCCAACTTAGAGTGTTCTCAGCATCTGATAAGCTGATGGAGGTGAAAACACCTTACAAATTGCACAGAATGCTCCCATGCTGCCTCTTTGGGACTGCTCATTTGCAATTGCTTTTCATCAAACATGACTGTTCTAATATCTTTTGAGAAATCTTAGCTGTGCAGCCTTGTGGACATCTGTCTCTTTGAGGTGCCTCATTTCCTCATCTGAATGATGATTGAAAAGGTTTGGCCTCAGCATAGTTTATAAAGTGGCCAGAAGAGACATTTTCCTTTGGTCCACACGGTGGGTTTGTATTGATTTAATCAAAAGTGTGATTGACATTTAAAAATAGAGAGATTTCACACAAAAATCCAGATGTCATCTGTCTGATCCCTCTGGACTTGGCTTGCCTTCCCTGGTTAGAAGTTCTGGAAGGAGTCTCTAGCTTTTTAGCTTTAGAATCCTAAAACATTCCAGATGGGATATTTGAGACAAATTTAAAAGACATTCCTTTTTTGTTTGAAATTCAAATTCAAATTTAGCGTGTTTTATTTGATCTGAAAATGCTAGCCCTGGAATCAGACCACTGAGGCAGAGAGCCTCTCACTCACGATAAGCTGGACCCAGAGGGAATCTTTTTCCTGATTGTTACTAACATTTGATATTGGGTGATTTAATATTGTTCCTTTGCATAACAAGACCCAAAGATTGTTTGACCTTAAGAGTCACATTTACATACAATGAAGAAAGCCAGAAAAGTGACTCAGTTTGCCCAAAGACACAGAGCAAGGTAATTCCAGGGCTACTTTGAGGTTGTGGTACAACTATAACCAGAACGTGATAGCTCAGACCAACCAATAAATGCAGAGACCAACAAAAAAAGCTCTCAGCTTTTCCTTTTTTTGGATGGTGAGGTTTATTACATAAATGTACTTTTAGTGTTATTTAAAAAAAAAAAAAAGTATGTGGAAATGATAGCCTGGGAGTAAACCAAGAACACTCAGGACCCACTGAAGGCAATGAGAAATGCTGAAATATTCCATGGATACTTTTCATCTGAAGAAAAAAGGAGGACTCTGAATTCAAGGTTCTGCAATGTACCTTTAAAATATCACTATCACCATCATTGTGTTTGGGGCAGGTAATTACTTTGCTGTTTCATATGAAAACATTTCTTGAACCCCTTCTACATGCTTAGTGCTAGTCCCTGGATCCTCCAGATAGACATCAGCCCCTTGGAACAACACAGAGTAGAGCAGGGTAGAGAAGTCCTGCAACTTATTCCAAAGGCACACACAGAATTACTGAGTGCTGGTCACCTCTCTAATGCTTGATTTCCCCTCTCTTCCTTGCTTTGTTTTTTTCTCCTTAGCAATGGTCACTTTGTCACATATTTTACACATATAATACATATGAATCTTATTGATCTTGTTTATTTCCTGCATGTCCCACTAGAATGTCACCTCCATGAGAACAGGGATTTTATCTGTTTTGTTCATTGTCCTATCCTTAGTGCCTAGAACAGAGATGTTTGCTGAATGATGAATGCCACCACCCCCTTTATGACGGAGTCAGAATCAGAAGTCAGGCAGAAGGAGCAGCTCCAGAAGTAAACCCCTGTTCTAGCCAGAAGCCAGAACCAGAACAGAACAAGAATTAAACATGAGCCAAACACTCTGTAAACCCAGCTTTGTTCTTTTCATGTGCCCTCTGGAACGTGGGTATCAGAGAGTTAAAAACTGCTCTTCCCTATTTTTCAGTGCAAAAATGGCACCAGAACCTGGGAGGGAGTCGGTGGGGTCACTTCTGTGGTTGAGGAGTCAGGAGCCGTCTCTCTGACCCTGTCACAAAACTGGCAACAACCCAGAGATGGGAAGCGTGATTCTCAGTAGTTGCCCAGGGCAGGCCAGAATTAAGTGACCTGCCCAGATTACAAATCAGGTGACTAGAGTCTCCTGGAGCTAATGCTTGCATCGCAGGGCTGGGGCACAATTCTCCTTCAGGAAGGTTCTGTGAAAGACCATCCACATGTTATGCTTACCGAGATGCAAGAATAGGATTTCTGAACAGGTCAGCAACCAGCCCAAATTCTAGGCCCATGAAGGGAAAAATATGATTGCCTCCAAGACTTATAGAGAGTAGAACCAAGTCTTTACTGCCTTGAGATTGTCAGGCCACAAGGAAGAGAGCCTGACACTGAACAACTGGACTGGACACCTAGTGCCACCAGAGCCCTAAAGGCTCTCCAGCAACCCTGTGATCTCTGGGGTCTGGCGAGGTTCCAGCTGCATCAGACCCCAGGTTAGGTCATACTCGAATTATCCTGACCACATATGGCAGGTCTAGGATGTTGGTAAGCCCTAAAATTGCAGAGGACAGAATGCCTGCTGTCATCCAAACGTGTGGACTCTTGCTCCAATGTGATGTGAAAACTTGAAAAGCAAGATTTTCTGAAGTCAAAATGATCGTCCAGGGCATAGCTGGATTGCTAATTGGAGCGCAAAAGTGGCGGAACATTCTAGAAGGTGAAGGCTCTTTTCAGACAAAACCATGAGGGGATCTGGGAACACATCTACCTTGGGCTTCACAAGCTCTTTGGCCCATGGGAATTCCTCCAGATCCCATCCCCTCACCTGTCCAACTCTAGCCAATCTCCTCCTAAAGTCAAAGGCCAGCATTTTCTCTCATCCATCTTGCCACCTGCCAAAGGAGTTTGTTTGCATAGGCTCAACAACACGAACCAATGCCTCAAGTGTTCTGGAGGGCTGAGTGTGTGCCACGCTCTGACCCCCAAAGGAAGAGAAGCTCAAAGTCGCAGCTTCCACCGTGAGACCCTGGATGTCGTGGGCCCCAGCCCAGGAAAGGAAGGCAGGGAGCTGGGGCTCTGGAGTCCATGTGCACCAAAGAGCTGGTTGACCTTGAGCTCATCACCTTATTTCTCTGAGCCTCAACATTTCCTCATCTGTAAAATGGGGGTGATGGTGGTTCCTACTGTACGGCCTCCTCATGAGTCTTAAACGAAATAACACAGTAACGCTGTGGCACACACTGACACTCCATCAAAGTCAGGGACTGTATTATTTAGTTTAGTCCAGTTCCTGAGGCCACCTGAGCAAGACAATGACACATTCAGAGTCTCTCGCCTGGGCACTGGGTAGGTTCTAGAATCACTTTGAATGCTGTGGTGGCCTTCACACAGCTGTGGAGTGACTGGACTGGAGCTCTGGTCTGGCCGGAGAGCAGGCCACTTGGATTGCGTGTTGGAAAAGTGGAAGAGGCCTGACTTGGAAGGACTCAGCCTGCCGGTCTAAGGGGAGACTTGGATTTGTTTCCCCGTGTGCACCCAACCCCCTCTCTCCTGGCCACAAGAATAAATAAATTGACGTAGGTAGACTAGAGCAGGACTGAGATGATTTCTTCATTTTCCATCATCGCTGGCTCCTTCAGAAACATTTCACTTTTGCCTAAAAGCTCCCAGGTTGCCCCCCCTCTCCCCACAACCTCCCTATCCCCAGACTAACAGCAGGGGCAGCTCTAAAAATAGCCTGCCTTCACTGACCCCCTGGCATGTAAATACATCTTTGTTCCTGGCTGGCATTTAATAACAGTACTTTATGGTGAAACAAAAGCTGTAATCAGAGCCCAACAATGGAAGCTGCAGTCAGAGCTGAACAATACTCAGAATTCCCATGGCGACCCCACCCCCATCCGCAGCTGTGAGAACCAGAAGTCTCAAGCATGAATTCCATTCACAATTCTTCACCCAGTCCCACTGCAGCTTATTCGAATCACGACTTTCCTGCCTCCTCGGCGGGGGTTTCAAAGGGTTGAGAAGGGCTGCCAAGCCTGGGCCCCAGCCAACGGCAGCCGGCACAGGTGTACATGTGGGGCTGGGGCCGAGAAGCTCGTGCAGTGGCATGGTGACACAGCCAGACTGCCCCCAGGCTGGAGCCTTCAGCTGCCATCTCTGCAGCAGCACTTCATGCAAGACTTCCTTCAGATAAAAGAGAGCTTTGCACCTATTTCCTCCTCTGAAACTGCAGTCTGCACATTCCAGGATAAGCCCAGCAGCTGACTTCTGGACCGAGTCCTGGAACCTTAGAGAAAGAAGGTTTTTAAGGGGGATTGCTCCTGTGGGTCTCATGCAAGTTAGAATCTGTTGCACGCATGTTAGAACCAATGGGAGTACCTTAAAAAAATTCTTAGGCTAAGACCCTACCCTAGACCAATCAGAATCAATGGTCACAAAGAACTGGCATTGTTACTATTTTTTCCTTCTTTTTGTTTTGTTTTGAGGTATAACTTAAATATAGTAAAGTCTATAACTCTTAAATATAAAGCTCAATAAACTGTGTATCTACCATCCAGAGCAAGATACCCTTCCAACACCCCAAAAGGCTTCCTACGCCAACCAGAAGTAACCACTATTCTGATTTCTATCACCATAGACTAGTTTTATCTGTTCTTGGAATTCGTATCATTGTAATTATACTGTATGTTGTGTATTCTTCTGGGTCTAACTTTTTTTGCTCAACATTCTGTCTATAAAATGTATGTCATTGTATGTTGTACTTCTGTGAATATTCTGTTTTGTGAACAAAGTATAATTTGTCTATTTTCCTCTTAGTGGGTGTCTGATTTTCCAGTTTGGGGCCATTATAAATAAAGCTGTTATGAACATTCTTGTGAAGTCTTTGGTGGACCTTGTATTCTTTTCTCTTGGATATCGAGTGAAGTGGCTGGGCCATGTAGTTAGAGTACATTTAACTTTACAAGAAACTGCAAAACTGTTTTCCAGAGTGATATGCCAATTTCATTCCCACCAGCAGACTATGCGAGTTCCAGTTGCTCCATACTCCCACCAGCTCTTAATATTGTCAACCTTTTAATTTTAGCCTTTCTAGTGGATGTATAAATGGAATCTCATCATGGCATCAGTAGTGTCAAAAGATCTTCAAGTGATTCTAACACACAGCCAAGGCTGAGACCCAAGGATTGTACCTGACTTGGTTTGTAGTCAGGCAAGTTGAAGACAGGGCAGGAAAGAGCCAAAGTCAAACTTGGAGCTCCCCACTCCTGGCCTGGGACTCTTCCTACTGGATGCTTGGTACCTGTCTGCCTGCCTGTCAGAATAATGGCAGATCTGGCCTAGAAACTGGGTGTGACTTTAGCATCCCAGCATCACTGGGAGCAGAAGGAATTGGCAAAGGCCCTCAGGTGGCTTCAGGGAGAGCATTGGGGTGGCCTGAAGCCCCGTGGCCCAAGGGCAGAGAAGAACCAAGCTGTGGTTAGCACCTGGAGAAGCCATGAAGACAGGGCATCATGCCACAGAGCCAAGCCCCTGTGTATTCTCATCTCGGTCCTGCCACCTTCTTGTCACCCAAACAAAGGCGGTTACCACCTTTGACTCTTTCTGTCCTCTTTCCCCATATCCAGGGAGATGCCAGGGCCTGCCAGTCCTCGCTCCTAAACATTTTTGAATCCATCAGTCCTGTCTGTCTTACTGTTCTAACCTCATCCAGACCATACCATCTGTGTCTGAGCCCCTGACCAGCGTCCCCCCAGAGCAATATTTCTCATGTACAAGCCTGATAGAGCCACTATCCTGCTTAAAAGCCTTCAATGGCTCCCAGCTGCCTCTGAATAAAATCCAAACTCCTTCCCACGACTCCCTCCAGGCCTCTAAGCCTCCACGCACTTCGCTCCTGTCTAACCCAACTGCCTGGGCTTCCCCACAGCCAAGCTATTCCCAGCCCCCTGTGACTTAAAACAAAAAAGAAAATAGCTTTATTGAGGGATAATTGATACACAATACACTGCACATATGGAAAGAGTACAATTTCAAACATTTTGACTTATAAATACACATGTGAAAACATTGCCACAATCAAGGAAATGAACATATCTATCATCTCCTAAGTGTCCTCTGCCTCGTTCTCATCCCTGCCTCCTGCCTCATCCACTCCAACCACAACCACTGGTCTGCTTTCTATTACCACAGACTAGTTTGCATGTTCTAGAACTTTTTACAAATGGCATCACACAGTATGCAGTCTTATGGGTGGCTTCTTTTGCTCAGGCTAAGTATTTTGAGATTCATCCATGTTGCTGTGTGTATCCATCCGTAGTTCATTCTTTGTTACTGCGGAGTAGTGCTCCATGGTGTGGATATACCATAGTGTGTTTACCCATTCACCTGTCCATGGACACTGGGCTGTTTCCCCTCCTGTATCTTTTTTCATGTTGCTTCCTCTGCCCAGAATGGCTTTTTCCTCTAGCCCCATCCCACCTCCTAACCTCCCACAAATAAAATCTGCCCACACTGAGAGGCAAGCATTACACCCCAGTCAAAACTCATAGTCTCTGAGAAATCTTCCCGAGCCTTCAGGAGAAGTGGCCCTCTCTCCTCTGCAACCCACTGCTCCCATTTGTAAATCACAGTAGTGTTTCCCCAGAGGACCAGGGTTTCCTCAAGGGCAGGGTACAGGTCTTAATTACCTCTGCAGCCTCAGCCCCCAGTGCAGCCTTGTTGGGGATGTAGGAGGGTCAAGGAGTGGTGGCTCATGCCTGGGAGGCAGCCCCCTGCCAGGGAGGATGGGGGAGCCTGGGGGCAGATCTGGCTGTGGAAAGGGAGGCTGGCAGGAAACAGGCAAGCCCAGTCCTGGAAAGGCACTGGAGACCACGAAGGACAGCCGGGCTGGAAGTCCAGTCCAGCGTAACAGACTCAGCGTGAGCAAGATGTGCAGTTGCCCAGGGCTCACTTCTGGCAGCAGCCCCAGGTGACTTAACTCCAAGCTCTGCCAACAAACATAGGAAAAAATGCTCAACATCATTAATTATCAGGGAAATGCAAATTAAAACCACAATGAGATACCATCTTACCCCTGTCAGAATTGCCATTACTAAAAAGTCAAAAAACAATAGATGTTGGCGTGGATGTGGTGAAAAGGGAATGGTTACACACTGTTGGTGGGAATGTAAACTAGTAAAACCTCAATGGAAAGCAACATGGAGGTTCCTCGAACAGCTAAAACTAGACCTCTCCTTCGATCCAGCAGTCGCACTGCTGGGTGTCTACCCAAAGGAAAAGAAGTCATTTTATTAAAAAGACACTTGCACCTGAATGTTTATCACAGCACAATTCATGATTGCCAAATTATGGAACCAACCTACGTGCTCATCCACTGGTGAGTGGACAAAGAAAATGTGATACACATACACACACACACACACACACACACAGTACTTCTCAGCCATGAAAAGGAATGAAATAATGTCTTTTGCAGCAACTTGGATGGAACTGGAGACTGTTATCCTAAGTGAAGTATCTCAGGAATGGGAAAACAAATGCCACATGTACTCACTCATAAGTGGGAGCTAAAGGAGTGGCACAGGTGGTCACAAAGTGCTGTGATAGACTTTGAAAACTAAGAAGGGGAGGGTGGGAGAAGCATGAGGGACAAAAATCTACTTATCGGGTACAATGTACACTATTCTGGCAATGGGTACACTGAAAGCCCTGACTTCAGCATAATACAATCTATCTGTGTAACAAAAAAAAATTCATAACCACTAAATTTTTTGAACAACAAAAAAAATTCCAAGCCCCCAGGCTCAGCATCAGATCCTGGGCACCATAAGGCCTCTGGGAAGATGGAGCCCTTGGGCAGGTATCAGTGAGCCTGGCCACAAGGGACTGGGAGCTGGAGTCCTGGAATGGCCCGAAATCCATCTCAGCCCCTGCCTCAGGGCCCCGGTGACTCAGTTTCTGTTCCCCTTCCAGTGGGGCATTTGGAGCTGCCCGGGAAGCTGGTCAGAGGAAGCCACTCCAGGACTCATTGCAGGACTGCTTCCCTCTGATTTCTCTTGTCCTTCGCTTACATCGATTGAGTCAGTCCATCGGTGTAGTTCTCACTCCAGTGTTGCGGCCCAGCAGCGCCGTGCAGAGAGCCCGGCTCTCGGGAGCAGCAGCCCTCCATCCTTTTAGGGCCTTTGTTATAAAGAGATGATCAGCATTGCTTAGGAAAACTCCTTTAAAAATATGAAAGTGACTGATCTTTTGCAAAGACCTAAATGAGCACATTTCCATGATCCAAGCTTTTTGACCCACAATGCTGTTGCAGACAGATGCTGTCGGTGCCGGACAGACCTGAGTTCAAATCCACCGGTTGCTGGTTTGTGTAACTTTGAGCCACTCACTAAAATGTTCCAAGCTTCGGTTTCCTCACTGGGCAAATGATCCATCGGCTGCACAGAGGTTGTGAAGACGGGGCTTAGCCCATAGTAAGTGTTCAATAAGTGGCTTTTATCATGGAGTCTCTTAGGCCATTAGAGGAGGCACACACACCCACCCCTACCCAGCCCCATTCCTGGGTTCATCATCTTCACTTCCCGACAGCAAACAAGCTTTTCTCTGGAAGCTGTCCTGGTTATCCTGAAATGCCCTCCTCCTCTTCATTCTGGTGCCCACATGCCACCCGCCAGACTGTTTGTTTTGGATGCATGAGGCCAGCCGGGGAGTGGCGGGCCTGCCCATGCCGTTTCTTGAAACAAAAGCTGCTCCCTGAGTCATTGCTGGGAGAAGCCATTGCGTCCAAGGACCTACACAGACATGTTCGAGGTAGGTCGCCCTATAGGCAGGAGTGCTGGGGGTAGGTTGGGTACACAGGGAGAGTGACAGGGACAGAGGGTCCTGTAAGACAGGCAAAGGGTGTGGGCTTTATCCAGGGAAAGTGGAGAGAAGACACTGATGGGTTTTAAGTAAGGGAGAGATACGGTCAGATTTGCAGGTCAGGTAAGTCCTCCAGACTCTTAGCACGGTGTTCTGGAAGGGAAGGCCCCACCTACGTCCCGGCCTCATCATCCTTTGCCCAACACAGGTGTGTCCTGCTCTAGTGAAACCCCTCAACAGACGGCACCTCTGCCCCACTTGGGATGCGCTCCACCTGGCGACATTCCCCCATCCTTCACGTCCGGCTTGGCTCCCCCTCCTGCAGAAAGCCTTCCCCGGCCCCCAGCACACGATCGGTGCCTTCTCCCCGGAACCCACGGTTCTCTCCCACACACCCAGGAGGCAGAGCCACTCAGAGCTGGCTGCACTATGCAGCTAATTCTCCGAGTACACAATGCTGTGGAAAGAACAAAACCAATTCAGTTCGGAGTCTGTCCTCAGCAACCGTGTGGTCTTCAGAATCTCATCAGCTTCTTCTCATTCGCACAGTGGGACAATACAACTCACCTCTCAGGATCGTGGTCAGGGTGAAGGGAACATGAAAGCACTCTGTAAAGTGATGTTAAACAAAAACTGGAAAGGAGATGGGCTGAAGGGCCGGGAAGACCTGGGGTGGAACCCTGGCTCTGTCTCCTACTGGTTGACTGTCTCCGGACAGGCTCTCTGGGCTTTCTTCCTCCTCTGTAGGTGGGAGCTTAACACCTGCTCCTGGGATTAATGGGAAAATCAGGTATGTTCAGAGGTCAGCACTGTACCTGACACATAGTAATCTGGTAATGGGTGCTAGAGCCCTTCCCTCCTCATTGCCAAAAGACAGAGCTTTGGGTGTGGGAGTACACATGTATCTGTTGATTGTGTGGCTGATCTGATTACTGACTGACCAAATAAAACAATGGATGAGTGGTGGATGGATGGAGGGATGGAGAGATGGGTGGATGGGTGAATTGGTGGACAAATGAATGTCTAACTGAATAAATGAATGGATGACCAAACTGATAGCTGAATAAAACCAAGCAACAGATGAGTGCCTGAATGAATGAATGAATGATGAATGGAAAGAGTGATTCACCAAATGCACAATAGGACAGGAAGTAAGTGACTGTTCTCCTGTGGCCCAGAGGCTGACCCCCTCCCACCTGCCCTTTGTGGTATGTGTAAAGCACGAGTTACCCGGAAGGCCCTCCCTTAGTGGCAGCCAGGTGTCTCTGCCAGGTAACCAGGGTAACAAAGTTCCTGAAGAGAAGCAGATTTTGGCTCCTTGGAAAATTGCATCCGGGCCTATCTTGACAACAAAAGCAAACGTTCTGGGGCTACGTGGATTAGAGAAAGTGCCCACTCTGAGCTGCCAGTGGAAAAGCTTAGCCCAGGTGTCCTCCCAGCCTGAGGGGCACTGTCCCTTTCACAGACACCAACCTCCTAGAGAAGAGGGGGCAGCATTTGCGTCATTAGGGAAGATGCAACTGCCCTTGGCAAGCCAGGCAAGCAAGCTAGAGTCCCAGGAGGAGGGAATCTGGGGTGGGCAGGGCTCTCGTCCTGCTGACCGTGAGCCTGTGGGTCCGAGATGGCCCTGGCAGACACAGCGTCACCCTCGGGGCAAGGAGCAAAGACCTGTCTGCAAAGGAACCCTCACTGAGGAGCCATTTACAAGTGCTGGCCTCTTTCTCATAGGCACATGGGGAAGGAGGCAGCCAGGCAGTGCCAGCCCCTCTTCCCAGCCTTCTGCAGATAAGGAGGCCCTTGTATGGGAAAAGACTCGCTCAAGGTTAGAGAGTGACATCCCCATCCTTCTCTGCAGGCTGTCAGGGTAAAGTTGAGACTCACTTCCAGTTCAATTAAAGCTTCCCCTCAACTCCTTGCAGAACCCATCAGTTCTGCCGGCCGTCCCCCTGCACCTGTCTCCTGCTTCTCTCCTCCAGGCCCTTTCACCTCTTTGCACCCCGACATACCACTTCTTTAAGGAAAGAAGACACTGTAGGTTTGTCATCTTCTCTTTGCTGATGGACACGCAGACAAGCAAGGCGAAGTCAAATTACCATGTTGGCAGACTCTGTTTTAGACCCAGTTTTACACATTTTGTCCCATTTAGAGCTAACTGCGACCCTGCGAGGCATGTGTCCCATTCCACAGATGAGAAAAGTAGAGCTCATGCACCTAGGAAATGGAAGAGCCAGGACTCAAGGTCTTGCATGACTATCTTAACACACACAAAAGAGAGTTGAGCTTAAGGGAAACACAACATAGCACACACACACACACACACACACACACACACACACACTGATTCATTTTAATACCACAATCCTACATACACAAATTCCCCAGTGCAAAAACAAGAACAAATCCTTGCTCATCAAAACCAAGAATAATGTCACTGAATCTGCATGTGTTTATCTAATATACTTATATGAAAAGAGTCCATCTGTGACGTATTAAGAGTTGGTGATATCACTGCTTTGCACATAGGGGCTCAAGAAGTTGTGATTGAGTTACTAGTGTTGTTACTAGTTGGGATGGTTAATATCCACCATCTACAGAAACAGCAGAAGCTTTACTCTCTGTTTTCTATTTAGGCTTAAAACTAAATTTAAAAATTGCCAGTTCAAGTGGGAATTTGAAATTAGGTGAGTTAATTAACTGAGTCATTCTCAAGAGCATGCTGAAGAGGGGAAGGGGATGGGTAGGTTAATTACCCAGGCCTCTGATCGATGATCAGAGAAGCAGTTGCTGCTGTATTGGGCTCCGCAGAGAGGCTATCCCCACAGGAGGGGGGCAGGTATCCCTCCTGGGGCCAAAAGCCTCCAACCCATCCAATTAGCCATGGTCCAGGCCACCGCGCCAACCCCAGGCCAAGGCAGAATGGATGTGTCCTTTCCATTTTCCCTTCTTCCTAGTGTCCGCCAGGGCCCTTTCTTCTACTTTAGGTTTTAAATTAAAAATAACTCAAACAGTACATAGCATGTGAAGAAGGAAGTGAAAAATCACTCCCAAATGTGACCTTTCAGTAACAATCCCTCAAAAATTTGGTGAGCACCCTTCCAGATACCTCTCTACAGATACATTCACTCGTAGATAAAGCGGGGCGATTTTACAAAATGACATCATGTTCTACATACTTCTTTCTCAAAACACTTTT